TGCAGTAAAAATTAGAATTATAAAAATTCCTTAAGCTGATTTTTTAATTTTGGGACCGAGGATGGAATATGATTTTTCGAATCGATGCGCACCCCTCCTACTTTATGACCCCTGCCGTAAGGTACGTACGTACCGGTTGTGAGGATGAAGTACAATCACGAGTAGCTAGTGAATAAATACTCCCATGTTCCAACATAACAAATACAAAACACTTACGTTACGGTATGAAAAGTTGTGTCGCAGCAGGAACGGATTTCAAGTACTCGTTCAGTAACTTTCTATCCGCATCCTCCTTTCGAATCGCAAGCAGCCATGACTAGCGATTCATACCACACGGAAACCACGCAACCGAATCGAATGGGACCGAGCCGAAATCCGTTGGTTTTTCGAACCTGGTGTCGCAGTCGCTCGTTGCAATGTACGATGCCCGTGACTTTTAATTTTCGATCCGACTCGCTTCGATCATTTCAAAATTGGTGTTGGTGTGAGGCTAAATCCCGAGTAGCTAGCAAACAGCCTCACTCCTCCATTGTAAAACACGTATTAATTACTATATCGATAAATGCTTGCGCATTGTCGTTCTTAATTTGGCAGCCCTTTCTTGTTCGTTGCTGGTTTGGAACACCCCGAACAATGATCTTTTTCCGCTCATCCTATCGTCAAGAAACGGGCAATGGCTGTGTTACTCTTTCTTCGTGCGCAGAGCACAACAATCTGCAACACTTTTTGCGACGAATCTTTTGCGGCACCAGCGTGTACCTTGCCACATGGTAGGGTGTGTCAGTTTTGTTCTAGTTGTGTTTTCTTTCGCTTCGTTTCTTTTGTTTATTGCGTTTTGCTTATTGCAATGCGAGTATGGTCTCCTGTAGATCCTTGCACCACGGAATCCTATAGTATTAGTAGTTGTCGGATGCAAGCAATAACAATGACGGTGAGTCGAACAAACAAGCTCGAGCACAAGAAGAGGTACACGGACCGAAAACACAAAGACGATGCCAAAGCGCACTGCATTTCGTTGCACTTTGGCAAACTCGAATTCAACAATTAAAAAGCTCGTCTTGTTTGACATACCACGCCGGCCCGGCATCCGATGTGTTGACCAGCCCCGGAAATGGGCATCCCGAATCGTCGTTGATCTGGGGGTAGACAAAGGACTTGCGGTAGAGCCTCAGTTTTTCCACCATGTCGCGAAGGACCTCCGGGTATTTTCCTGCCAGGTCGCTAGTTTCGCCCGGATCGGTGGCCAGATCGAACAGAAGGTACCGTGCCTCTCGCGGCAACCGCGTGGTGTTTCCGTGTGGGTGGTTGTTCTTGTTGTCGCCGTCGCTGTGATGGTCCTCCCCGGGCGGAACTATGGAATCGGAACCCTCCGGGAACTTGTTGCTGGCATCGGGCCCCGCCGTGGATCCGTAGACGAGCTTCCAGTTTCTGTGCCGGATCGCCGGTCCGTACCAGTCGGGGGTCCCCCTGCCCGGGTCGTGATCCACGCACATGGCGTACCCGCCAAAGAGCTCGGTGCGGGGGGGCGGAGGAAGGCCTCTCGAACCACCGGGAAGGGCCGACAGCAGCGCGGTGGCCTGGGAGACCCCGTCCTGGACGGACTGGTTTCTCGGCACCACTCCCACCCATTCCGCGAGGGTTGGGAACCAGTCCACGACGTGGAAGAGGTTGTTGTACCGCCTCCGTCCTCCGCCGGTGTTGCTGCTTGCGGCAGCATTTTCGGTAGCACCGCCGGCTCCGTCCCGGTGGTTCCGCTTGTCTCGTGCACTCCGTTTCTCCCCGGTAGTTTGTTGCTGTTGCTGTTGTTGTTGCTGCTGCAGCAACAGCCCCTCTAGGGCAGGTCCCCCCACCAGGGCGTCTCCGGTGGTCCCCCCCTCCCACAGGGAGCACTTTCCCCCCCGCTTGGGAAAATTGGAGGAGCCCTGGACGCACCCGACGGTGGTGGGCCCCCCGTTGTCGGTGGTGACGACCACCAGGGTGTTCTCCCACAGGCCGTGGTCTTTCAGGGAGGCCGTGAGGTTGCCGATCCCCTCGTCGGCCGCCGTCAGCATGCCCGCGTAGTTCTTTCGCTGGTCGGTCCAGTTTGTGCGGGCCTTGTACCGGTCCACGTACTCCTTCGGGACCTCGTTCGGGCAGTGGACGGCCTGGTAGGCCAGGTACAAAAAAAGGGGCGGAGCCGTGGCGTTGGTGGCGGCGGCCTCCGCTGCGTGGTCTTCCACCACGGCAATGGCCTCCCTCGTAAAGACGTGGGTCGAGTAGTTCCCCCGCTCGCTTCCCACCACTCGGCTGCAGCCCTCCCCGCAGCGCGGTCTCGCGTCGCGGTGCAGGTCCACCCCGCCCACCCCGTTCGACGCGTCCGATTCGTGGGTAAAATAGTCCTGCCCGCCCATGTAAAACCCGAAAAAGGAATCGAACCCGCGAAAGGTCGGGGTTTGTTCCCAGGCCGAGTGGCCGAGGTGCCACTTTCCGACGGCGTGGGTTCTGTAGGTCGTTTCGTCGTCGTCGTCGTCGTCGTCGTCGTGGTTGTTCCCCGCCGTTCCCGCTCTTTTGGTCCCCGCCCTCTTGAGCATCTCCGGAAGGGTTTCGACGTCCAGGGGCAGCCCGGCGGTCGACTTGGGGATGATGACGTTGTGGACCCCGGTGCGGAGTGGATACATGCCGCTGAGAAGGGCCGCGCGGGTGGGGCTGCAGTAGGGCAGCACGTAGTACTGCTCCAGGTAAATGCCGGTGGGTCTTTCGTCGCCGTCGCCGTCGCCGCCGTAGCTTTCGCCGCCGTAGCTTTCGCCGACATTGCGGTTCCTTGCCTCCGCCACAAAGCCATCGATGTTCGGTGTGTGGATTCCGGTTCCGTGCAGGCCCAGATCGTGGGATCCGAGATCGTCCAGAACAATCATCACGATGTGGGGTAGCTGCTTGGGCGGTTTCTGCTGCTGCTGTTGCCGTTGCTGCCCCGCTGCCCCGACGACACCCAAACCACCGAAACTTCTGTCGCGCACCAAGAGCGTCAGTACTAGGAAGAAAGTGGGAAATAGGAGTGAAGGGTTGGCATTGCGTTTCCCACCGGCGTTTGGCTTCGTCGGAGCCCGGTTTGTCGTTATAGTTGCCATTGTTTTGTGTATCTCTTTGTTGCTTTCGTTGCGTTTGGAATGGTTGTGTTGTTCCTTTGGAGCCTCTGTCGAGAGCCACATGCGGTTTGCTTTGTTGTGTGGATTGGATTGATCGATCGTTCTTTCTTTCGAATGGTCGAATGGTTTGTTGTTGTTCTTGTTGTTGTTCTTCTTCTTCAGGAACAGACGCAACGGAAAGGGAAGAACGTTCGACCCTCGCTGGTTCGTTCGTTTGCAAAGAACAGAGGACGAAATACGCTAGACAAACCCCAACCGATGGGTATGTGTTGCACCGTGTTTCGTTTCGTATCGTATCGTATCGTATCGTATCGTACCGTAGCGCAGGAGTTCTTGAATCGATTCGATTTTCGATGCTCTTGCTGCTGCTGCAACACCGGTTCTTCTTCGCAGGGGTGACGCGCTCTCGTGTGGCGTTCTCTTTGGAGGTTCCGGGGGGAGTGTTCTGCACAATTCAAACCGGTACGGCTTGGTACCTTACGTGTCTTCAGTGGATTCTGTGTCGTGTTGCACTGTACGAGTTGATTGCCGAAGATACGATTCTTCGTTTTGGGATTTTTGGGTCCAGATGACAGCGATACGAACGGTATGGTGGTATTGGTATTAGCGTACGTACTTGCTACTGTTATGTTGGTCCACTATGTACTCGCACTCGTACGGGTATTCAACTGAATTACGAATTACTGTACTGCAATTCTATTTCTACTGTATTTCGTACGTCTCATGTAGGGCACGGTACGAACGATGGAGTACAGTATGATGGATTCATTTTTTGTTCTCCGAGAACGCTCGCTCCACCGGTAGGTTCGTCATAATTCCTTTTCGTAGATCCATTCTGGTGTTCTTCTTTTGTTCGCATACTGAAGTACTTTATTTTGGTTGGTCTATTCCATTCTTCTGGCAACCGGCAGCAGGCAGCAGGCAAACTCAATAACGTAAAGTATGTACTACCGTACGTAATTCGAAATGGACGACAGTATGTACGTACTGCGCCGTACCGTGACGTGCGGTATGTCCGAAACACCAAACAGCCCCATCCATCGGTTTCGATTGGCCGACGGAGGATGTTCTTATTGGTTGGGATTGGTTGGTGATTGATGGATGGATTCCTTCGCTTTTTCGTTCCAAACTCCAAACCAGAAACGCAACGAGTATGTACGGGTACGAGTACCGGTAGGTACGGCATGAAGTAATGGTACTGGGCTGGGCTGGGAACGGAATGAATGATGAATCCATCGAATCGAATCCTTCGTGTCGGATTCATTCATCCAAAACTACGAATACGAATACGAATACGAGTACTCGTACTTACCGTATGGTATGGTACGACAACGCAGGGTGTCCTATTCGTACTCGTGCGAGGCACTCTCGGAATCGTGTGTTCGTGACGCAACGCAAGAGCCCCCCCGTGCTACCGAAAGGACTCCGTGACTTCCATCGATTCGAGTCTATTCGAGTCAACAACACGGTGGACTGCTGGCCTCCCTCCATTCCATGAAAGAGGGCATGCTGTGCGGTCTTGCGATCCAACAAAGAAATAATTCGAATCGAAAGCCTTTCGGATGGTGGGTTGGTATAGAGTACTGTACCTATGAGAACGGTGGTGGTCGAATACGCATAAAAAGTAGTAATTTTTAGAATGGTTGTAGTGTGTAAATTGTACAAAAAAGAAAACGTAGGTTGGTTGGTTTGGTATGTGCATCCTCGTAACGGGCGACTCGGAGTTGGTGGTGAGCTGTTGTGCTGCGTGCGGTTCGGGTTCTCCTTTCTTTTGGTAGAACGTATATATATATATATATTGTATGTCATGGTCGTTGCCATGGTCTTCTCGTCGTTCCTGCCCCTCTGTTCAATCGATCGATCGATCGATCGACCGACCAGTCCATCCATCCACATCCCACCCGTCGAGCTTCGTACCGGTAGCGTGATCAAAAACAAAAATCTCGGAAAGGAATTGCCCGGGGGGTCCGTGGGTGGATGGATGGATCGATCGGTGGCTTCCAAACGAAACGACGAGGCACACTGTGTGTCGCGATGGTTGGTTCTTCGTTTTGGGTTTCGTAGTGTCATAGATTCGTAATTCTTGGTTCGCTTGTGTTTCTTGGTTCTCCCGGAGGACCTTCTTGGTTTGGTTTGGTGGTTCTGTTTCGTTGGTTCGCAAAAAATCCAAAAAAGTCTCTGGTAGGCCGCATCGGACGTCCGTGGTTTGTGATTTACAAAATATACTGCAGTTGGACGGTCGGTGTGTGGCTTGGCTTGCTATTGTCATTGTCTTCCTCCCCGGCCTGCATCGCATTGGATCGGATCGGCACCATTTCGTTTCGTTTCGTTTCGGCCGTATGGTACGTATAGTCGATCGTTTCGCAAAATCGTTTTGTGTTTACGAGGACGACGGTGTCATCGCCAATCCGTTTTGTTGCTGCATGAGGAGGATTTGCAACAGCTGGTTCTGTTGCTGTTGCTGTTGCTGCTGCTGTGCGTGACCGTTGGTGCCGTCGGCGGTGGACACAAAGCCGGAAGGCGACGGATTCACCGGACCAACCTGCTGCTGCTGCTGAAACATGCCGGTGGGGGTCGCTGTCGCCATCTGGGCATGTTGCTGCTGCTGCTGCTGGAAATCGGCGGGGGCTGCGGCAAACTGGTTCACCACGAGCGTCTGTTGTTGTTGTGGTGGTTGCTGTTGCGGAACGTACTGTCCGTTCGGAAAGAGAGAGGTCGGGAGCTGCAACTGAATGGGTGGTTGCTGCTGCTGCTGCTGCGGACCGGTCGCTGGCTGTGCCACCTGTTGCTGTGTTTGAAGTTGTGTTTGTGTTTGTTGTTGTTGTTGCTGCTGCTGGAGGTTTCCCTGCAGCAACATGGTAATGAGGTCCTGGGTACCGATCGGGGAGGGTGCCACCACCGGGTTGTTCACCGCCGGTGCCCCCGTTTGCACCTGAACCGAGTGCGGTTGAAACTGCTGCTGGTAGTTCGGCGCAAACGGAGACGGCTGCAGCTGCTGTTGTTGCTGCTGCTGCATCATCTGAACGGATTGCTGCAGCTGCTGGAGGTTGTTGTTGTTGTTGTTGCTGCTGCTGCTCGGGTTTACGGCCGCGGTGGACAGGGCGTTGCATCCGTTCAGCTGCTGGAGGATCGCACTCAGTTGCTGGAGGCTGTTCTGGAAATTCGCGTTGGGGTCGAGCGTTTGTTGTTGTTGTTGCTGCTGCTGGACCACGCCTCCGTTGGCGTTGGCGGTGTTGGGCCACAGAATGGTGGGCTTGGCGGTGGCCGAAATTGGCCCGGCCGCCGTTGGAAGGACCAGAAGTTTTTGCTGCGAGGGTGCGGGTGCGGCCTGGATCGTTCCGTCCTTGATGACAAACTGCTGCTGGGGTTGGTGTTGGTGTTGCTGCTGGTTCTGGGCCGGCTGCATCGGGAGCTGCTGGGAGGATTTCTTGTGGTGGAGGTGGGTGACGGCGTTGGTCACGTCCGCGGTGTTCTTTTTGTGCTGCGCCTGAATGGCCTGCTGCTGGAGTATTTGCTGCGCCTGGATGTGCTGGGGAATCTGGTTGATCCCCGCGAGTGCCTGGCCGGCACCGCTGGCTTGTTGCTGTTGTTGTTGCTGCTGCTGGGCGGCCTGCTGCATGGCGGCGGCGGCCACCACGGCCTGGACGCTCGAGACGTCGACGCCTCCGAGGGGGGCCCGGTTTCCGCGGCCGGTGCCCTTGAGGACGATTCGCTTCATGCTCTGGCAGACCGCGGGGAAGCCCTTGAGGAACAACGGGTGGGAGCACACGTCCTTGTGGGGTCCCTTCGACACCCGGGTGAATCCCCTGTTGGGGTTTGTGAAACGAATTAGAGGAGAAGAGAAGAGAAACACACACACACACATATATATATATATATGCATACACACACAAACAGCATGGTTGGTGAGTTTTGGGTGAAGAAAAAACAAAAGACAAAGCGCCACAATTGCGTCCTTGCACAAGGGCATTGGAAAAAACAAGCTGCACTCAACTCACCACAGGTTCAGATTCCTCTGAAAGGTCTTGAAGGACTGTGTCCCAAAGAAGGAGGGCATGATCTCCTTGACAAAGCGCTCCTTGTCGTGCACCTTGAAGGACTTTCCGTCCGGCAGCCAGGAAATGGGCATGTCTCTGTAGGTGAGGCTGTTCTGTCCCTCGTTCGCTATCCGTTGCTCGTGCTCGTACTCGCAGCGCTCGAGGAGCAGGTGGAGCTTCCAGGGAAACCGGAGCTGCTGGGCGACCTCGGGGGTGGGGCCGTCCGTGTTGGCACCGCGCTTGCTTCCGCGGAGGGAGGGGTGGTTCTTGTTCTTGGCCGCCATGGTCATGGACGAGAGCGCGGAGATCTGGGACTGCGTGGGGAGCGTCTTGGGGGAGGCGGAGGACTTGGAAGACGCAGAGGTAGAAGCAGAGGCAGAAACCGTGGAGGGCGTTGCCGAGGAGCCCAGGCTGTGGGTAGGCGTTGGTATCCTGGTTTGCTGTTTTTGTTGTTGTTGTTGCTGCTGCTGCTGCTGCTGGGCTTCCCACTGCACCTGCAGAGAGTTCAGGTAATGCGGCTGGAGAGAGTTTTGCATCGCGGAAAGAGACGAGAGCGATGAAACTTGGGGCGACATGCTGGAGTGGATGCCGTTGTTGCTGTTGCCGTTGTTGATGCTGTTGCTGTTGTTGATGCTGTTGCTGTTGTTGCTGTTGTTGTGAGACGTCGACGGCAGTTGCATGTCAGACACGTTACAAATTAGAAAAAAGAATGCGTCTTTCTTCCTTTAATGCTGCGAGTGTTTTGGTGCAAGGCGAGTGACGAATATTGTTCTTGTGATGATGTAATTAATAGTAGTATTAACGAGCCGATTGCGTTTGTTGCTTGTGCGTTCTTGTTGTCTCACCTGAAGATTGTGAAAAACTCTCGAATGAGAAGAAGTACCGTAGAGCACCCAGTGTTCTCAAAAAAGGAAGAATGGTTGTGCTAGGTTCCGCGTCGTGGTAAAGTGCCAGCAAAGGAAACAACGAACATCTTTTCTCGAACACGCCTAGTCTCCCATTAAAATTCCTGGTATAAAATTTACAAGAATATGTCGTTGACAAGACAGTTTCTTCTGTTTGAATTAATTAACGATTCAGGAATATATGTTGTACATAATGTATAAGTAGAAACAATTGTGTCAGACTGACGAGTTTTTGCTCGGCCAAAGGTACCTCTCTTTACTTAATATGCTCGGGACGGATGAGACGATCGATATTACCATCTTATTCTTTTTGTACAAATGTCTTACCCACAGTTTTTCATCGTAGACTTCTCGTCTTGGAGAAACTGACTCACAATGACTTGCTGGAGGGAAGGAACCTGTTGTGTGACAGTGAATTCCGGTGAACGCCTATTCTATTTGTGTTCTGTGTTCTTTTTTAAAATTGTCGAAACCCAAAACCGGCTTTGATTCTAAACAGAACCAAATAATTAATGTATGTGATTTATGTGATTTATGAGTCTCATCCCGGTCCCCTAAGTAAACCGAGGAAGATGGAGAATTTAGTTGTCCAATCCTACGTTCTTTTTATTACTTAACATCAAGAAATGGAGAATTTAGTAGTCTCACGAGAACGGCAGATTGAACGGTGCATTCTGTGATCCACACGTTCTCTTTGGCCAGAAACCGGCCTCCTGTCGTCAAAAGTGCGTACGTCAAGACGCATCTTGCAACCGATTCCAACGCACATATTCTTTTTGTTGGCCCCCGGAGGTTTCTACGCACTCCGCTCGTTAAAATATCTACGGTGAGGCTCGGGACCGGTGCGTCGAACGGAATGCAATCCATGGAAGATGGATGGAACGGAAGCCGCCAGTCACACCACCACCACCAATCCACAACTGCAAAAACGAAAAACAAAACAAAACGAGGATAGTACGAGTACGAGGTACGAGTACGAACTTTGAGAGAACACGAAGGCTGTGCCACGATCCACCGACGTCGACCCTCGTTCTCTACGATTACGTGTACCGGTACGTACGGTACGGTACGTTCTACAGTAGATCTACGATCGGCTCATCGCATCGTTGCGTTGAACCTAAAACGCAACCATCTGCACCGGGAGGCCATGCATTTGGTTTCGCTGCGATCGTTCGTACGTACCCTACCGTTCCTACGTACGCAAGTGCGTTGTGTGAGCGATGATTCGATTCCGTATGGCAGCGTAACTCGTGCGATACCGTACCACTCGGGAAAGCCAATCGGATTCGTCCATGTCGATTCCTCTTCTCCTTCCTAGGTTGACTCCGGAAGATACGTCCTCCGCGACGGTTTCCCTCTTCACTCCTCCACCAAGAAGGATCCATCGAAATAAGCCTTTCCGGCTACCACCAGTACAACTAATCCTACTAGTAGTAGTACTATTAATACCTAAAGAACTACTACTAGTACTACTACTAGTGATGCTGGTGGTACTAGTAGTACTAGAAGTACAACTACTAACCTTAATCCACCACTACTACTACCAAAAGGAAATGAAGTCTAGCAGTAGCAGCAGCAGCAGCAGTAGTAGTAGTAGTACTAGTACTAGTA